TTCGCCCCCTCCCCATCATCCCATCCATTTCCTACTCCGCCCCCTCCCCATCATCCTGTCCATCTCCTACTCTGCCCCCTCCCCATCATTCCTTTCACTTTTTACCCTGGCTGTCCCATTTTCCCACTAATCCAGCCCAACCAGGGCTTAGTGTACACAATAACAGCGTTTATATAAAAAGTAAATAATGGAACAACATACCAGTGGCGATTTATAAGATAACTCTATGGAAAGGTTTATATTGCAATAATTGATAGCAATAAATGTTTGGGTACATGCAAACTTAATGCTTTTTATTTTACATGTAAGCTAAAAATGAACAGGTTTTTCAGTCAACTTCCATTACATGTATAGTTTTTGAGAAGGTAAAGATTTACAGGTGAACATCTTCAAGAAGTCCCAGCACTGCTTACACTGACACTTGTACAGTAAGAGTTACACATGTGATGTTTAATTCAACAGGTCTTTTTTACTTCCATACCAAACGAAGGCTAAAATAAAATTGATTTTTATTTTGTAACAGTGTAGACATTGAAAATATTAGATGGACTAAATGAATATGTACTTCCAATATTATGTTTGACAGATACAGGTAAATGCTGTTGTATGATAGCGACCAGTTCAGATGGGTTCTCCTGGCCAATTTTAAAGAATGTGTAAATGAATTAGTAATAGCAGCATTTGTTTTCGAGCAAAATAGAACTACCATTCAAATTCCTATTTAACAAATACAAATTCTATTTCAATGAGGGTGCATTCAGTTGTATACATACATGTACACGTAAGGTCAGCGTTCAATATCACAATATTGCACTGGTTAGTACAGTATACGGACATTTATTTTTTCCTGAAATTGAATGCACCTCTATTTAGGAAAATGTGCAGGCAATTCCGTGCGTAATGTTATTTAAGGTATGCCGGTCAAGAATTGGAATTTATTTGTGTGCTAACAGAAGTTACATTCTTGGAAGTATTTAGTTAAATGGTTAAATGTTTGAATATTCATGATTGAAATAAACCATTCATGTTCTCTTTGGAAACATACCAACTAAGAAACCTATCAATACTGGCACCGAGGGAACCTTCCTTCTTGTGCTAGGTTTCATCATAAAAACCTAACTTTTTTTTAAAGTTTGATAACAGACACACTATAAACATTGATAGGTAACATGACATTTATTATGAAAGTCATTATTTGTGTAACCTTGTATATATATTATCATCAAATTAAATGTACATTTTGTGATTTTAAATTACAGCAAATGAATACTCATTTCTGAAGGGTCACAGTACAAGACAGATTTTTAGCGAATAAAAATGCACATTTGTTGTAACTGAAAACGGATACGCCAATCCAAAATCCCAGTCACGTATTTGTAACTTCTCTAATGAAACGTACTGTACATTCATTTATTTGAAGGCTGCAAAATGTAGTCGAATGCTTGTTATTGCCAAAATGGAACCAGGTTTTAAGTTATTTTTAAAACCTACGCCAAGTTGAATTTTTATTCTACAAATTAGATTGCACATTTTTCGAAATTAGCAGGGAAAACCTAGATTAACCTAAGTACCCCACCGTACATGTACTTTTTAAAAGGAAGGTTCTTGTATCACAAAATATTATTTGGGTTCAAGTTAAATTTCTTAATTTTCTTAACTCCATAAAATACCTTACATGTTATGTGATGTACAGTACATGATGCATGTTTGAAGGGAGACAACATTTGTTTTTCCATCGTCTTAAAAAAGGGTTCTAGTGTGCAGTACATGTACTTGTGAGGAAAGGAACTGAACACAAGTCCTTATCTTGCAGCTGTAATGAAGACTTGAGATAATTAATTGAAGGGCTTGTTACATGTAAGCATATGCATACATGTACATTACTGATGTAAGTCATGTTCAGTTATTTGACAAAGAGCGTCACATACACCTGGTGTCATGTGAGCCAAGTTACATTGTTCATGATACTTTGCACGAAGTGTTGGTTAACCTGTAGAGGCTGGCTATGAAATTACAATTCAGAATGGACGAGGAGTACAAAATAAAACCTGTTTGTAAAAACTCGGAAAATTTGCATTCAATAGTACATGCCTGATAATAATCTCCCAACAGAAATATAATTGATGAATGAACAAATGACATTTAAGTACATGTACATGTATTTAAGCAAAAGTAAGGGGAGGCAGGGATGCTGGAATGATTTCAAACCATAAATACACGTACATGTATTAGACGTAACTGAGAACATCATAAAAAAGGAAGCTTCCATATAACTTATTGCAAATGTCTTTCTTCAGAAACGACTGAGAAAGCAGAGAAAGAAAGAATGCATCTCAAACACAGTAACAAAGACCCCGAATCACCTGTCAGTTGGAAAAAAAAACGCAGGCAAATTTCCCCATGGGTTTGTGTACACTTGTGGCTTCCACAGGAATTGTATACAACTCTCCAAACACGAACAATAGAGGGCGCTATTTTCCAGACGTGAATTTTTAATTGAATTTTACTGATTAGTGTGCATTTCTCAACACTGGTGAAATAGATATTCTTGCTTTGGGGTTTCGAAACTTTACACTGAGCACAATTTCAGGTAGTTTCTTGCGGGTAGATCACAGAATTTGATTTCTGAATGCCTTTTACATGATCATCCTATGGTCTAACGGTAAACTAGACAGGACTTATGGCACCGAGCTCTTTGCCTAAATGACGATAACTGATGTACATCAGGTCATGTGGGTTGTGGGTTTACTCTGTAAAATGAATTGTCTATAGGATCTGCAATAATCTGCAGTCTATGCACACAATGTACTGTACTGGTCGTACTCTACGGTAGAATGCAGACCTCCCAACCTGTCGTACTCCTTCGTGAGGTCAGGCAATATCACACAATAGATTAAAAGGTATTTAAAATGAGCCCTCAGTTCATTTAAAATTCTAATCTATTATGTGGTGATGCCTGACCTCAGGAAGGAGTATGACAGATTGGCAGGTATGAGAATGGTGTCGATGCAAGTTCTTCGGAGATACACTCCTACGGTATGAAGACACTTTGGGGTACAGATATACCAACAAATTTGGCAGGCTGACTTCAAATGAAGATGGATGCATTGTGTACAGGTTCTAAACCACTTTTTGCCAACTGAAGCTAAGAATGTTCTGTATCACTGAATCTTCTACATCTAACTTCTCCAGAATACTCTTGGTGCTAACATGACAACTAACTACAGAAAGTGCAGCTTCAAATGTAGACTCCTACGATCACGATCCCCAGCCATCTTTGGACTGCAGACTCTAATTTGGCAAGATTTCACTCACCATAGGCTAGGTCAGGCTCGATTGTGCTTCTGTCTGGGCAGCTGGCCACATGGTGACGCAGCTCGGAGACCGGCACAATGTGTCTGGCGTTGAACGGACAGAAATGCACCTTAGCGGTCCGGTGATTCTGTGAGAGAAGAGACAAAAATCGTTTGGGAATGCTTCAGAACAGACATTTATTAACCCAGACAGTGATACATGTGAAAGGCCACACGTCTTATCCCTTAGCCTGTAACCATTCAACCTGTAACCCTCAGGGAAAAGGGAGGTGAGGCTGAAATCAGTTTTGTATAAAACACGCATGTTAAGCGTCTGGGCTTTAGAAAAAAAACAGAGAGGCCAGATTTTTCCTTCATTTTCAAGAAGGCTAGCCTAGCAGTCTCTTTTTTCCCCAAGAGTCGGTAATTTCTCCACTGTTCCAAGACACAAATACGAAAAGAGACACTTTGGATAAGAGCAATATAGTTACAGATGTTTCGATTGAAGTTTTTATTGAGTATACTGACGGTAGTTTCACAAGTACTGGGGAACACACTTACTGTACTTCCATTGGAGGCAAGTGAAATTCTTCAACCATTAAATTTTAGACATTGCTATTCAAGGTCTGTTTGGAGAACACACTGTTAAGTGAATTATGTGGAAAGTGACATAGATTGTCTTAAAGTAAGACTGTCTAAGCTTAAGGTATTTTTATTTTTGGATGGACTCTTAAGCGTAAATGTTTTTATCCCACTTCATGTTTTTTCCTGTGATGAAACTAACAAAAATCCATGCTGCTCCCACCCCCATCCAAGGAAGCAAACAGGGGCGCTAAGCATGATTGTGTCTTGACTTCGCCTGGCAACTGTTTTCTTTAACCCTAACCCCCTAGGCTCCTGTACTAGAAAGCACACTGAACCTCACAAAATCCAACAGGTTCATGCACTCGTCTACGTACTTGTACATGCAGGTTACTGTACCAAACCTGATAAACTCCAACAAAATGAGCCCGTTGTTTGAGTGATATGGTATGGATGGGTCTATGCAGTATAGGATGACTTGCACTGAACAGTACCAAACCTGACAAAATCAAGCATAGTCCAACAAGCAAGCAAGCCAGACACTGCACACAGTGACCCGTGTGTGTCCCAACTCACACAGAATCCAACACCATCTCCCTGGGCCTTTCATCCCAAGGCTCACAAAATTCAACAAGTTCCTCAGGTACGGTACCAAACCTACCAAAACCTCACAAAACCTGCTGTTGGAGTATGGCAGGTTTTGGGCAGTTAGGGTTAACGAACAAATTTTTGTTTTTTAAATCTTTACCTTCCTGCATTTCATGATGTGGTAGGGATATCTCTTGGCCAAGATCCGGTGGACTTTGTCAAAAGGGCAGACGAACAACTGGTCCGGGTCACAGTCGCTCATGCTGGGGAACGCAAACTCGTTTGGGTACGCCATGATGAACAAAAGATCTTGCGAAACAACTCCAAGCTCTGGAAAATTAAGGAAAATTTTTGGATGTACATGTAATGCTGACAGAAAAGGTCTGGCACTTGATTACTCAGGCAGCAGAATCTTTATCTTTGACAGGGAGACATTCTGCTAGGAGTAAGTATTTCCAAAAATTGGAAGAGTACAACTAGCAGTCTTCTCTTGGACTGCGAACTGAAATCACATTCACTTCCAAAGTGAAGTGAGGATTGAACAAATGATGACTGATGTTAATGTAAAAGACAAGTAATTTAAAACTGCAGTAAACTGCTTGCTGACTACAGTGACCTAAAACACACATCACAAAATATGGAGCGGCCTGACGTTTCGATCCAAGCAGAATCTTTCTCAAAGGCAAACTGACAGGTGGACTGGACAAACAAGCACATGGGGAATCAACCAAGCGTGGACGGATGCAAGACGACAAAAGGAGAGGTTAAGAAAGCTGCAGGCTGGATAAAGGGGCAAAGGGGTAAAGGGGTAAAGGGGACTGAATCACCCCTTGCCCCTTTATCCTTTGCCCCTTTATCCAGCCTGCGGCTTTCTTGACCTTCCCTTTTGTCTTCCTGCATTCGTCCACGCTTGGTTGATTCCCCGCTTCCTTATTTGTTTTGTCCACCTGTCATTTTGCATTTGAAAAAGATTCCGCGATGATGTAGAAGAAAGGCACGGAAAATAATTCGCTGCTTTCCAAACACAAAATAGAAAAACAGGTGGGCAGGTATACATCTTAGCTGCATGTGACACCCTCCCCCCCTCCCGAGAAAAAAACAGAGGGAAACAAAGTCACAAACACATTCTAGGAAGCCAATTATGCACATCCTCACCAGTAAATTCAGTCTAAAATCAACTGAAACCTTCTCTACACACTGGCTGCAAGAAAAAGGAATTAAAAGAAAAATCAATGTGCAGAGCCTTTCATCCCTGACAGTGTCTAAGATCCTGTAGAAAGACACGAATGAGGAACTGCCCCTGCTGAGTAATGCAGATTAGACACTTTCATTTTCCTTCCCTTGTTATCAACCCTAATTCACAGGCAGCAACTTTCTTGGAATATCTTGGAACTTGCTGCACAAACAAATGCTAACGATGTAAAGGAGACATTCATCGACCATGGATACAGTAGTGTAACTTGTTCAATACGCTTATCCTGCACATCTTGCAAAGTCTACAGAAGATGTAAAAATAAATTAGCATATCAAAAAAGTACTGTTCCACCATGTAAACTAGGCTTCTGATTGATCCTGAACTTTTAATTTTTTTTCCAACTAAACAACTTCAGCTCTAATTTATCAATTATTTGTTTCACAAAATAAGGAGGCCGCTCGTCTGCAGCCAACAAAAGATAGATACCCCATTGGCCATCACTTCAACCTTCCTAACCATTCCATTTCTGACATGATCTCACAGGGCATAGAATCACTTGGGCACCCTAAAGAAGCTGTTCACTTCAACAGGGAGAAGCTGTGAATCAAATGACTCAGCGCCATATACATGTAACTCCATGGCCCGAATATCCAAGAGGGACACTAATTCATAGTACCCCTTTCTCTCCCTTTTGTTTGCAGATTACCCCCAACTTGGGGTCCACTACCCCTTCCACTGTATTTATTTTGCGATCTCTTCCCACCTTACATCCCTTTGTTGTTCAACCATACCCTTCATGCAGTCCCCTTTCCCCATTATCCAGCCTGCGGCTTTCTTGACTTTTCCTTTTTGTTCTCCTGCATTCGTCCATGCTTGGTTGATTCCCCGCTTGCTTATTTTTTCCTGTCCACTTGTCATTTTGCCTGTGAGAAAGATTTTGCTGGGATCGAAATGCCAGGGCCTCATTTTGTGATTTGTACATGTATTCTAGGTCACTGAAGCCAGCAGAGCAGTTTGTAGCAGTTTTGTATTACATATGTTCTGGAATTATTTATTTTATTCACCAATGTATGAATTTGGCTTTTTTTCTACTTTCTTTTTTAGCTGAAAGGGCAATGTTTATCCCATTTCAACAACTTCAAAGCCAACCATTCATAAAATATTCAAATTGCCCGGTAACACATTATCCAAGACTTCCTGCCTTATCTGTTAGCTCCCTGTAAGCCCCCAACTCCTTATCACCTTCCAAGGCAATAAACACTAATACCTGGAAAACCATATACAGGTCCCAGGGATTAGCCAAGTAACAAACATAATACCTGTTGCAAGGTTTGGGGGGGGGCCATGAGTCATCCTTGCCATTGATTGTACATAACCAGTCTGGAGATGGGTAGATGAATACTCCATGTACACTCAGTTCCTACATAAGCCCAGTAATTCTGTTGTCAGAAATCTGGCATCAGAAATACTGTGTTTCGCTTTGCCAATAGGCTGTCAATCGGCAATATTCACCAAGGTAATCACTAACTTGGGGCCTTCAGATTATTTATGGAATGAAAATGTTGCAACTTTCAGTATGTTCAGAGTTTGAAAAATGTTGAATAAAAACTGTCATTTTCCCGTACTATGTACATTTTGCTCCACCGTGTGTCATTACCAACGGTTTCTTTTTAACAGTTATTTCTAATGCCGCGTTGCCCATGGACATCTATTGCTAAGTTCCCATATGTCACTGCCACAATGGTCACAGGTGTCTAAAGACACTTTTTAACTGCGAAGGGGCCCTCTTTTCGGAGTCAAAATAAGGACTTCTGCACTGTGCTGGCTGTGGCATATTTGCCTGAAGTTGTCAGATTCTGTTCTGTTTTTTTTTTCAGATTTTGCCGATTTTGTCATATTCCGCTCAGGTCAAAGGTGAATTGCACAGTGCTGACAATGTATTCAGCTAGTCTTGCACTGCGAATAAATATTCTGTTACGGTAGAAAAAGTCAGAGTAGGAATGCGTCATAGATTGACAAGAGGGATGTCGCAGTAAGTTTCTGAATGGCCGCAGGGAAAATGTCCAATGGGAACACAGCTTAAATGTACAAAGGGGGGAAGTGTATAGTTAATCCAACTCTCGTTCTCTCAGAAAACTGGAAAATGGAGTCAATTACAAGTACAGAACATAAATCACGAAGTGAGGCTATTTTGTTAAAGTAATATCTATTCTATCTTTACTTATTCATAAACAAACAGCTTTAACCCGAACACTCTCTAGGGTATGCATATGCCTACAAGCTGGCAAGAAACCCTGCCAGACCCATCAATTTGCACAATTTGTAAAAGTGGCTTGCCTGCCCAGCATGTAACAAGATCCAACAGGTCAACTCTTCCCAAAGCTTAAAGCCTAATAGCCTGGGAGTCTGTGGTTGTCAGTCACCACAGGATGGGATAAGCTCTCATTATCTCAACATAACCACTTTGTTTGGCTGCTGTTGCAATTGCTCAGTGCATCAAAATGCATCAGAGCCATAGAATTCAAAAGGATGGGGTTTCCAGCTTTCTCCGTGTGCAAGTAATGCATATACTGTACACTACATGTATGTAATGTCACAGTGAACATCGTGGGCCAGTGATGGTTGTCCACCGTGCAACAGACACATACCAACATGAAGGTAGAAGACCCACGTGTGCAGGCAAGCGTCTTGCTAAAAACCGCCATTGCGTGCATAAATATATACAGGATGTACATGTACAGTATACTGCAAGGTGAACGTAAAGTGAGGAATCCCATCGGGCCTAACTCTAACTCAAGAAATTGAAGATACTACTTACTAGGGCCTATATTGTGACTAACTATGTACAAAATCTACACTCCCAATAAACACCGCTGGGCATGTACACGTATTGATAAATAAATGTGAAAAAGCGTCTTACCAAAGAATAATTCGTCTCCAGTCTTGACCGCACTTGTACTTGTCTACACGTGAACCGTACGCAAACGTAAGTAACAAGAGTGTATTTCACGGCCACGCACACGCGTGCGTACGCGTATATCTGGAGGTCTACTGGCGCAGTCTAATCTTTTGAAAGGGGTCTCCTGAGGACCCTACGACGTTAAACCAGTGACAAAAAGGTGATAAAATTTAACAGCAGTTCTTCATCTTTCTAAAAGTAAAATAGCAAGGATAAAATAAAATGCCACTTTTCTTGAGATAAAAAAGTGCTGTGATTCACTATTTATTACTGAAGTTTATAGCTGAAGTTTGTCGCGCTCTACCTCTAAATAAGTGGTATGATCTCAAGGGAGTCATACCAGATCCAAGGAGAGGGCGCCCTATCAACCCGCGAAATTTGAGGATAGACCGCCCCCCGGCCCCTGGACGCGACCGGGACCCGGAGCCCGCGCGCCTGTCGATTCGGTACGGTGTGCGAGATCGAGAAAGGTCGCCCTGCATATCATATGCAGTGTCACTGTCACTTGTGTCAGTAAGTTGTCATGTTACAAATGGGCCTAAATACCTTTAAAATGTGGCTTTGCTTTCAAGAAACTTTAAATGCTGTACAGTTGTGCAAAGGATTCTCCCGCCCGTTTTCATGCATTAACAAATTTATGCTTTCCCCATTCAGCGCGGCTTAATACATGAATATTTGGCCTGCTCTTTTGACCTGTTGCCGTCACCATGGCGTCACTTGCAGGCGCGTGCGTCTTTCCTTTAACAAGTGGCAAAAGAATTAGGCTAAAAAATGCCTTGCAGCCCCGGCCACGTACTGAGAAATGCTGTGGAGAACTTCACAGACGAAAATACAACCCTTTTTAAAATTGATAGAGGGGTTGCATGGAGCGCCCTCACACTCACAGAGGACAGGTCTTTCACTCTTTGTTCCTGAGTGTGTGATTAGTAACGCTTGAGTAGACCCTATACATGTACTCAATATAGGGGCTATAGGCCTACTTCATTATCATTAAATCTATTAACAAACATGTCCTCTGAGAGGGTGCTCCATGTAGCCTGGCCCTCTCTAGGACAAATGGCCATTTTGAATGAATCAGAGGTAAAATCAACCAAAACAAAAGGTGATATAAGGCTTATGATGATGATTAAATGCAGTGCCAAGTTTTGAATGTTGCCAACTTAACGTCGGTTAGAAGCTGCTGGGGGTGCGGTTTTTTACCTGCAAATTCTTCAACCTTGCAATTGCGCTTTGACCCAACCAAGCACAACGCGTTGATTCGTCAACTGTGGAAATAAAAAAGAATTCTGAAACGAGTGTACACATCCTCACTGGAACAAATAAGGGAAAATTGTGTGTAAGTTTGTAAGAGACTAACTTCTTGACATGCAAACTAGCCCACCAACTTTCCATTAGTCTGTGATGTCACACTAGTATGTGTATGGTACCTCATTGTAGCAAGACTTCCGATTAGTATCTCACTTTCTCAGTTCAGCACGATATCTCTGAAACATTGCTCAGGTTTCTAAATACAGCGGTTGATGAGAGCCCCATCGTGTTGTTGTTTGCTGTCAGTGTATACCACTTTGATTTATTCAACAAGTAGATCATCCTTAGAATTGGCCCTTATATTGCCATGCACGCACAACCCATTGTAATGTTTTCGTCCTCTTTGACAAGGGAAGCCAGTCTGACAAAGTCAAGATGCCACAAGAGTTCCACGTGGTGCGCTGCTATGCCTGCCTGGTCTTCCAAGTCCAACAAGTGAAGAAGGCCCACAAGTGGGCCTGCAAGATGTGCGGTGAGAAGCAGTCTCTGAAAAAGGTAGGTTCGAGTCTTGGGCCCTTTGCATCTGGCTGGTTGAAGTGTGCCCTCACTTGCAAAGAAGAGACATCTGGTGAGACATCGACGAGGCTCGTTCATGTGCACAGCAGCAGGTGCACATAGACTGTACATTCAAATGAATATTGGTCACTCATGCTCAGTGCTTTCAATGCCAAATTTGTGTGAATGTGTGAAAACACACCCCCCCACATTCCCGCTGTTCCCACTTGGAGTGGATAGGCTTGACAGGACGAATTCGGTATCGGACCATTACGATCTAGACTGTCATAAGCACCAATAAGCATGAAAAGTGTTGTCACAACAGTGGAGTTGATATTGACGCAAATTTATTTCACCATAAAAATTAACGTTATGGAGCCTGTATCAATCTGTATCTGTGAGTCTGTTTGTCCCACGCGGATGCAGATTGCAATCAGTGATCCGACGTTGGTTCACTGACACCAGAACCTGCCTAATGGATAAAGCGAACCAGTGTTAGGATCACTGATTGAGATCCAGATCTGTGTGAAACAAACAGACCCCGAACTGGCCTTAAACTTTGCTTTTTTCTTTTTTGGGGGGCAGGAGTATGGCAGGGGGTCTGGAGCAGACTGCAGACGACACGTTCAGAAGCTCAATATGATAGCTGGAGGGTCGGGGGGCACAGGTTGTACACCAGACCCATCTCCGGAGCAGTGCCAAGCCATTGCCAATAGCAGCTTTGATGCAGATTTTCGAGATGTTACAGAAAACAGACAGGACTCCCTTGAAAATACAGAGGTACCGCAAGGAGAGAGTCATTTCATTGTTGTAGGCGATTAATACACCGTTAAATGAGGACTAACCATTTTCTGTGGAGTACCCACACTACACACCAGTGTGTACAGTCCACAGATTTTATGGCATGATCATCTGAAATCCTGAAGTCTCTTGAAAGTCTCACACTTAGATACATTTTGAACTGCTAGGAGTGAAGACCCTTTTGCCTTGATAATATTTTCTATCCACAGAAAATGACTGACTAATACCTTTCTACCTGAATTTCTCAGGTGTTGTGAAAGAAAGTTTAAACAATAATTCTATCAACTCCATGCAGCAGCATAGATGAAGTTTCATGCTGAAGCTTTTCCACTCATCAGGCAAGCAAGTTTTCTTTGGATCGCTTGGTTTCCTAATAATTCTTCTACTTTTTATGCATGCCAGCACAGATTTAAAGCAATATGAAGAGCCATGCATAGCTTGGAACTTTCTCTTTTGTTTCATACTCAAGTTGCATGCCTGACAAATTTTCCATTTCGCAGAAATCAAACCAAATTATTTTACTCATTTCGTTTATGTGTGCTACAGGTTGAAGCTCCCCTCTCAAAATGGCAGGCATTCATTGATGAAGATGGCACTGATGAGATCCCAGAAGGGCCCACTCAAGAGGATCACTCACACCCCAGGCTGGGCAGTGCAGAAATCACACTGAGCAGGCCCGCTTACCGTGGAAGAGGAGGTAGGCGGCATGGTGGATGGAAGAGTGCAAGGAAGAGGAAGAGAGATGATCCCGATCAGGTATTGAAAACTAATTCCGTCTTCCTTTGTGACATAGAAAAAAACAACCCTAGGCTAAATAAAAAGATCTTTAAGTGATTGGAACTAGTCTCAAAATTGAATTTTTATAGTGACTTTGAAATGTTAAATGAAAGTTTAAGTGAAGCCTAAAATAAGTTCTAACTACACCATTTTCATTTGTGCCACTGCGGTAAAGTTGCTAACTTGGTCCTTTTTAAAACTTAGTGTTCCAGTTAACATATTTGTGATCCTTGTGGAGGCTTGGATTAGTTTGTGTCTAGCTTGTCCAGACTGTCACATTATTCTGTTCCTTCAGTCTGTGACTCCTGTACATCGTCACTACCTTGAATTCTAATAAAGCAAACTCTCAACGTTTTGAAAGTTCACTGAGAATAAGGGATAAAAAGTTGCAGCAGTTTGCTCTTTGACTGGAGTGACTGTAAGAATGTAAAATTTGAAGTTCTTGCTTTTGTGAATTTATGGAAAACCTTTTTTCTCCTTTCTGTAGGATATTGATGCTGAATCCGGGACAGCAAGTCTTCAAAACGCAAACTTCTCTTGTCTAGGATTTCGCCAAACTTGGCCCACATCTGCAAGCGGGTTCAAGACCACAAGATTACAAGATCAAGGGAATATTTTCCGAGATGTAGCCAATGCTTAGAGCATCCCAGGGATTCCACGAAACTTTTGTCAAATCTTGGTGACCCTGATGAAGTCCAGACCAAGAAAGCAGGACAGAAATTTGGGATGAATGAAAGCAGGGCTGGCACGGCGCCAAGAAAGACGTCCAAGAAACAGAATCCAGGAGAAGCTGGGCCCTGTGTCAGCAGCAAGTGGGGACAGGTTCTCCAGGACTGCGAGGACGAAAGTGGTGATGGAGAGGACACTGTTGACATCCGAGGACACGGTACCAACCTTGAAGGAGATGTGTCCTCAGTCCTGACCAGAAATCAGCAGGAATTTGAAGGCCGCTATAATTCACCATTACAGTTTAGTTCCACTGAATTTAAAAATCAAAGAGAGTCGAATGTCAATCCTATTCAACCAGCGAAGTTTCAAGAGAGTCATTCAATGGACAATAAATCTGACAGTATGAGGACTCAGAGTAGAGATGAAAGTGCACAAAGTAGCAAAAACGGTGGCTGTTCAGCGATTAGATTTCAAAAGAACTTGTTCTCAGTGGGAGATGAATTCCTTCTGGATGAGGTCTTTGAAGAAAGCTGGTAGTTGCCCCAAGAGAACACAGCTTTATCCCAGAATGAGACCCTTGGGTAGAAAAAGCACCAAGTGAAGCCGTTTCTCTGTGGCCAGGATTAGGTCCTGGATACCCACCAGCAATCAGGTCTGAGTTCTCAGTTCAATTTCAAAATGTTTACTTTGAGCTTTTTCATCAGATGACGAAAATAGGGCATATCCAGTTTTTTGAAAAGAATCAAAACAATGCTGTAGACTGGTGGCATGACCATTGGTAGGAATGGATAGAACAGGTACCTGGATGCTGGACACTGCTTTGAACAGCCCAAGATCAGGGACTGTGTTTCTCAACAGAGGACGAAAATAGGCTCGAAAGGTTCTCAGACAACACTTTATCTGTTTTGCTACATGTTAAGATCACCTGTCTAATCACGTCCATTGTGTTTGAAACTCCTTCAATTGTGACAGGCATTCTCTGTGTATTCTTTAGGTATACATTAGTAACATGACAGTACCATTTTGTGTATAATATAGGGCAATGGTGTTTTCACGCTGTGTACAGGAGCATAGGTTTTGCTATACACTTCAATGGCTGGGCATAGGCAGTAGTTGGAACTTAAAAGGGCCCAAGTGCATATCATACAATGTGTGTGTTTATTGCTAGAATATTAATGGGGTGGGGCGAGGCTTATTTGAGTAGTAAAGCCCACATAGCCTTTTTTTTACGATTTACACAATTTTTGCAAGCATGAATAAAGTTGCACCCATCCAAAACCACTGTTATTTTTGTGACAGCACTTTTATTTACCTATCAGATTTGAATATATATATAAATGTTGCTGATACATTGATTTCAAAACATTTCATGACATATTCCCTGAGAATGTGAATTAGAAAAGCAACTTCTTTGTCTGGTAATTTACACAGAAAGTGTAATGTCTGAAATACAATAAAACTTAAATTATTCTATGCATAATATGGCAGAAAGATCATTCGTTTTTCAATACATGATGTCAATGATCATCTAATAAGCTTAAGAAATGAAAAACTGTGGCAGGTTTTGGGTTGTTCGGGGGCTTTTTGGTGAATATGCAATGAAGCAAAAGCGAGACAAGCCGTGTTCAAAACACTCCTCTTATACTCTGATCATAGATTACAGATAGATTACAGTTTTTGCACAAAAAAGTTTTTGTTGGGGGGATGAACGTGCAATGATTGTTCCTGTCTGTGTAACTGCGTCGTCTGCAAATTTTATTTTAATAGCGCCCTCAATTGAAAAAAATTATGACTAGCTGGTGAGCGACAAACAATTGTCAAAATGGGCTAGTGTCACCGAGTACCAGGCACCGCTCAGTCAATTACGTCATCTTTGTTTTGGTTCCGGGAAAACGTCTATCATGTCGGTCGACAATCGACGGCTGTCCCAGATAAAATTAAGACAAAGAGACAAAAAGGAGAAGTTATTTCAAGCAACTTGGTGGAATTTGTAGTCGGTAGACCGTTCTGAAAATATGACGAAGCCTGTTGGTCGGCAGAATGACCAGGAATCAATGGAAGATGATGGCACAAAAAAGGTAAGCGGACCAACTTTCAACTCGAGGTACGGCATGCTAAATAGACATGATAGACCCGTTAACAGGGCCCGACGAATACATGTACTTCTCCGTCGTGTAGAGGGCCCTGTCCCGAAACATAGGGATTTCTTTCGAAAACATTTCTCCGGGATATCCGGGGGCATCCGCTTGATTTTATGAGCTGAAATTGCACTGGTGAGTTCACTACTTAACGGGGTAAAGTATCCGCTAGGTTGCTAATTGCAGAAAACTTGCCTTTTCCTCGTTTGGAGGAAACAATATTGCCTTATTTTCCCCCCCGTTTTCCCACTCAAGGCGTGCTAGCACTATAGTAGTAGTACAGTCACTTGCAAAAGTTTAAGACCACCCAAGCGAAATGCAGTAACTCGTAGGATAAATCTTTGAAACTTTATTTTTTTAATTTATTTTCAAACAGCGAGAAATGGTCCTTACACTAATATTAACATTTGTCCCAGTGGACTCCAAACTGGCAAGAGAAAGCTGCTTTGATCTGTTGACAAGAACTTGATGGAGGGCGTTACAGTTTCTCTCGAGTAATGAGCTCCGACTCATAAGACTGTGACTAAATGCGGCATTAGACCTTCTGCACAGAGAACGTTATCGCTGTTATAAATCGACTGCATGCAGTGGGTGTCCCCATTGGTTTACTGCAGCATAGCTGGAGGCGCTGATGAGCTTGATGGTTTTTCATTGTATCTCTTTCTTTTCTTACCTCCATGGTAAAAGTCAGAGGTACATGTAGCATTTAACATGTTTAACATTTAGTAAGGCATTTAAATGTCTACTCATTCACCCTCCTGGTACGAAGGATCATTTTCTCATTGGGCTTGTTTTTCTTTGCAGCCCAGAAGCATCCAAAAATGATATTACCGTGAATCAAAATTGACCCTGGGTGTAGCGATGGTACAATGCACGTACATGTATGTGTGCATGACGTCATTGACGTGCATGTATTGTGATCACTGGTGATGCCACACAAACAACGCAAGCAAACCACCAACCTTGAAAGAACAACTATGGAGGCTCCGACAGGACTTGCTTGTTAAAACATGTATCTCTGCCCGACAACAGGGGAAATGTAAATCCATACGTGCCAGATTGAATTGTTCCATTAATGAAAGGTTGGTGTACCCGCAGAAATCAGCATACATGTATGTTACGCTCCAAAGCTTCAAAGAGGTCGAATGAAAATACGATGCAGCAGAAACTTTCTCAGAAAATTATCAAAAATATGTCTTTGGAGAATGATTCAACAAGAAAGAAATAATTTTATTTCTTCATTAACAATAAAGACCATAAAATGTCCTCTTTTGAAGAGCACGTCGGGCCAGAAATATAAACAACTGCACAGGTCTGCAACAGTATTCATACAGTTTTTCTTGACAAACTATGAAAAAATGGCAAAGAATTTCTTTAATTTCTTTCATTAATGCCAATGCATTAGATTCATGTTTTTTTCTTTATTAACCAACCCTACCAACCGTAAATTATCCTTAATTGCACAACACGCCAGGCCAGAGGTAGCAATAAACCAACCCTACAGTCAATTTCTGCATATGTATGGGTCAACCCAGAAGTTGAGTAAAATTAGTGAAAACTTACTTGAAAAATTATCCCCAAATTACCAAATGTCTTAAATGAATGCCACAACAAGAAATTGTTGTTTTTCTCTTTACATATTGATCAAAAAGTCAGTAAAGTGTTCTCATTGGCATAGCACGTCAGGCTGGAGATACACGTATGTTGTGTAGTATACTCAACTTCTGATATGTACGGGACGACCCGATGGTTGATTTAAAGTACAAGTAATTCAAACTAATTCAAAAAATCAGCAAAAAATGACAATATTTAGGATGAATGCTTACATAAGAATTCATTTTTTTAAAATTTCGTCATTAAACTGTATGGGAATTGTTTTTTGTGTGTACGTGTATACATGTCCAGTGCATGGTGGCGCTACATATGTATGTCTTGCCAAGGTATAAAAATAATTGTGTATTGGGACAGGCAGGGGGTCATGGGGTCATTGCAACAGGTGACTTTTGAATTGTTGTACATTGTAGAACGTTGTTTTAGGGCGGGTAGGTGAAAAGGAGAGGGAGTGAAGGACAGGAAAAGGGAGAAGGGAAGAGATGTAAAGTGGTCACTGGGGAGCAATGAGGAAGTACTAAAAAGCTGCTCGTTTGATATTAACCCCATTTATTTCCTTCATCGGAACTCTTGCTCACAACAGAGTGAATTTTGTTAGCTTATTGCTACTAAACTTGAAAGTAAAGCTTGCTGTGGAGCTCCTTGTCGATCATTGGACGATTCCAAAGGATGACGCATGATAATGAATCTAATGTTCACAATGCAAGATACACACTTGGCAAATTTTTAACTGAAAGCATCCTCATTTTTCCTTGAAGAGAAATAAGTAAACTTTCTACATGTACTTGATAACTGTAATTTTAAAAGTGAAATCGTTTTACAAAAAAGTCGTAATGGCAAAGTACAGTGATGAATTATTCGTTGTGGTGACGGAGGCAATGTGTGGTTACACAACACCAGGGGTGATTAGAGAATTAGCCTGCAGAGATTACAGCAGCATCTTTGAAGGATCTCCCCGTATGTTAACATCTGTTTACATGAGAAATGAATGGCTTGTCATTTTAAATTTTGCATCAATATTTTAACAGCGAGTTCTTTGATAAAACTTACCGTATTTTGAACACAAGAAATAACAAAATCAGCAACTGCCTTGAGCTCGAAAACAGAGCTCAGTCATTACAGATACATCACACTGAATTTGCTTTAAATCCTCTCGACATCGTCAACATCAGGTCTAGGCATTTGTGTCACAGAGGGGGGCAAGGTGATCACTGTCCCCTTTTCCCTTGAAAAAGGGCAGTTTTCTGGAGAAAGTTCTTGCGACACCCATGGATCTACATACAGAAATTTCTACTGCTGGACCGTGAGGTTTCAAAGGTCAAGCCTCACAGCTCTTCTTTGAGGCTTCATTGCAGACACATCCAGTGTCTGGCATCCAGATTCCAACCTTTGAAACGCACCCAATATCCAGCCAATTGAGACAGCCCTCGCAGAACATCTTTTTGGATTCTTGTGGTTTGTTACAATCATTTGCGATGTAACAAGTGGACCATTTTGCCTCTATCAAACTATTTCTGATATTTACTGGGACCAAGTTGGTCATGGTGTCGCCATCCATATTCCATGTGTCCTCCATCATAGTCGCTTCTATCGAGTCAGATGCACAACTGACATCCAGGTCATCAATTCTGGGCATTTTTACGACTAGATCTCTTCTCTTGGCACCTTGAACTCCTTAATGTGTAGACAAATTGATATGTCCTGTATCAGTTACCCCAGGAGGTGGCATGCAATTATATGGTAACAGGTGCCCTTTGAGAGACAAGGGCATGATTCTATGAAAAGACGATTATATAAATGAAAAGTTACATCCAAAAAGTAGTAAATGTCTTTGATAAATGCCACTACCAAAAAATGATCTTATTTTATTCATTCATAAATGACAACGACCGTAAATATCCTTGATTGCATGGCGAGTCACGCCGAAGGTGGAGAGGCCCTGGTATCTATTTTCTTTGTGCATGGGTAGACCCGGAGCTTGATTAAATGTAATGGAAATGTGGGAGAGCTAGAAAATTATGTAATATAACAAATTTCTAGCTCTGCCGCATTGTGTAGGCATAGAGCAAGGAACAATTCCTCACTGTATGGTGTAGGGAACTCTCTCCAAAGTGAAATTTAGCGGGGAAAATAATGAAGCATTAAGGCCTACTCTGAACACTCCTTTTCAGACCAGTCTTGTAGGGCATGTGCACAGGTCATCAAGTGATGTCCAGGTGTGAAATTTATCTGAAAATCAGAATTTTATACCGTACTCAAGTTGGGATGTGAAAACAAAATGACTCTCTACACAGCCAAAGACGGCCAGTGTCTCCTCGGGGAAAATCCGGAAAGCTGGCAGCAAGCGGGGACGGAAGCCCTCCAAGATTGACCAGAAGGCCAAGCTGGAGCGAAGCCGGCAGAGCGCCAGGGACTGCCGAGCTCGCAAGAAGCAGAAGTACCAGATGCTCGAAGAGATGGTAGCCAATAAGGAACGAGACATCTGCGCTCTGAGGGAGGAACTGGACATGGTAATATCCCACACTGGAAACTTGCCAAAAAACAGCAGTAATTATATGCATTGCATGTAGTATGTTAGGCAGGATTGATGAAGGGCGAGATTGGTTCAATCTGCAATCTTATTGCACAGTTTTGCCAATGATTGCCCATGAGGAAACTGCCTATTGTCACAATTTATGGTCGAGGGAGATGCACATGTAGTTTCAATAAAGGTAAGTTAATTAAGAGATTTCCTGCAGGATGGATCAACCACACAAAATGATTGGACATTGGTGTAGATCAGCTGATTGTGCCCAAGTTATCATCACCTGAGAGTCAAAATGAGGTTTGGAGAAAAATCACATTTGAAGCAACAATGCCGGAATCGTTTTAAAAGTTGGGGGAAGGGGCAAGCCCTGGCCATTAGACCGAAAAGAATACAATTAGGAACGTTGCGGTGTACATCCAACAGCTGGTAGGCTTATAAAATGGGAGGGGGCACAATAACTACCTTCAAAGGTGGATGGGGGCAACGGTCCCCCGCCCCCATCTCGCTGCCAGTGATTTGAAGTTGGTCTCTTTTTCAAATACTTATTTCCCAAGTATTCAGCATTCCTTTGACTTCACTAATGCTAGTGCATGAAAGGGGGATCTTAAATGACGCAAAACTACAAATTAATAATCAGAGAAATCAATGAAAATGGATGATTTTGTCAACAAGCATGTTTGTCTGTTCTTGAAAATGCTAAAATTCATGTGACTTTTTGTCTCTTCATGACAACTGAACCCACAGTACACGTTTGTCCATATTGTATGCCAGGTACAAAATTGTTGTTCATCTCTTCATGAAAACTATAAAATGAGTTTTGCCCTTGTTTGCTACATGGAAGACAAGTTTGTCTCTCAGTGAACACGAAAAATGCGGTTTAGTTGAAGTTGTCCCCACAGAGATCGTCATGATTTGTCTGATTTCAGTAGATTTGGTAAAAATGATTACACCAAGTTGTACATGTAGGCATCGCGTAGCCTAGTTGATTTTGTCAAAAAACAAATTTGACAAAAAATATAATTTTGGGCCAACTTGTCTATTCTTTAAAACCGTGGCAATATTCATTCTTTAAACTTTAGGGTTCCACGTGACCTTGAAAGGTCATTGAATTATTGTTTACTTGCAATATCCTGGTCTGGGAAAATTCACGGAAATTTTTATAAAAGACAAAAGCCAGGAAAAGTTCTAGAATTTAATGAGCACCAGTTTGTTTTAAATTTCGAACAAGGTACCGTATATACATGTAGTTATTTACATGTACGTAGCTCCGAAAATCTTTTGTGGGGGCTTTAAGGATGTTGGCATAAATGGAAAAGCCATGTTTCCTAGAGTACCGAAGTGTGACATCACTGTGAACCAGAAAGTGCAGTGCAAATGAATGGAGTACGCGCGCGTGTTGGTTCACGCGCTGGTTCTCGCGCTAATGCCTTTTACACACGCGTGACGTATTCACTTCGGCACTCTATTGTAATTACATCATTAATCTTGAACTTGAGATAGTTTGCCTGCAGTTCAGGGGTAATAGGCCCAGGTATCGCATTAGTCAATTTCATTTGCTAAATTGATAGCTTGTATTTTCTTCGCATGTTTTCATTTATTCACAGTACAAGCAGTGGTGTAAAAAGATAGACCAAGGCACCATCCCTCCTGAGATCTATGAGAACCTCCAATTGGGGGAAGTACCAGCAAAGGGCAACGATCAACTGAAAGATGACTCATCTTTAAAACAAAGTCACCTATCTGAAATTGCAACAGACTGATACCCAAGTCGGTAGAAATTCGGAAGGAAAAAAGGGATGGCGTGAAGGGGAATGGAATCCTGAACAAGAGAATGCGAACCCAGGTGTTCGGTGTGACAATGTTTTCTGCCTGTACGGGTATACATCTATGTGTATATTGTGCTATGTCACGTGTACCATTAAACAAGTTTTTGTGATAACCTGGTAGACGGCCAACTTTTCATAAATGTTTGGAAGAGAGTTAAAATGATATTGGAAATGGGTGTTAAAATTTAATTTGTTTAAATTGTTAATTGCTTGATACAGCACATAGGCATTGATAGTCGCATATGCATAGTTTCACAAGAGTTTCAAGGCTTTGACCAATCAAGATGCACGAAATGTGTTGACCCTTTCAAAACGCTCTGCTGGTGGACAGGTCCAGACATGTCAACCCATTCAAACGCGCATTGTTATAGAGGCCAGCGTGTTGCAAACTCCTGGTGGCACACTATTGTGAATCGCCCCTATTGTCCACACTGCTCATCTGATCCAAAGTGTCCGCGCTAGCCTTTAATGGAGATGAAGTAGGTTTTATACAACACCTGCATAAATCCCCGTCATCTAATTGATGGATCGGCGATCACATGGCATTGAATTATTTGTACCAACACACAGCTGCTACACGACACACGCACAACGCCCAGGCAGATTGAGTATGAAAGTACTGTGCGTTAGAAATGGATAACGAACACCTCCAGATTGATTGCACTGCAACTTCTAGTAGCGCAAGTTTTTCTATGGCAAAATGAAGAGCGATCAAGCTGCACTGTTCACAATTCTACAAAATAATTATAAGAACTTGGTTTTGTAGTAATGCTGATGCTGCCAACGTAAGGAAACAGATAAAATGCTGCCAGATGATCAAACAAACTTGGAATGTGATGTTGAAAAATTATAGGATTCACAACTTGACAACTTCCAGTTTGAATCAGTTAATTGATCAAGCTGTACTCAGAAAATCAGATGACAAGGATTAACAGGTGTTGTATAAAACGAATAATGAATGCTTTGCGTACGCACAGTGGTCAGATTGATTGCATTCGGTGACAGATAAAATGGTGTATTGTACCCGGCTTTGCCTTGTGGAATAGATCGTTTCATCTGTCACCTCCAGCAATTATTCCTAAACATTCATTATTTGCATAATAACTTCCAGTTTCTGGGATCTTGTGCAGATTGATGCATCGTGGTACATCACTCACCAAAGCAACACATTTCTGTTGTTCTTGGGCACAAATGACACCATTGTGAAATGCGATAACATTTAGCCCTCGTAATTACCAGTCAGCAGATGCATAGTCCCCCACACAACTGCAGAGCGAGAATGTGTTTTGATGTACAGTTACAACACTTTTGAGGGCTTAATCTATTGCTGGAAATCATTTCTCTTGTGTAGCTGATCGGAAAACATCTGTGTTTACTGAGTGCTTTATTTACAGGGTAATAAAACTGAAGCAGATGTGTTCGCCGATCAGCTGCAGGAAGAGCATGATTGCCGAGAACCAGACACGTCTTACAATTTGTAATTAAAGTTGTGACAGATCTTAGACAGATTGGAATACAGACCTAAATGAAGATGTGCACCATGAATATTGTGAGGTGTTATCTGCATGCAGTACAGTTGGGAAATCTGCCATATTCTATTACTTTTCTGCGTGGGGGCTTCAGAATTGTGGAGATTTTCTTAAAGAGCACCTCTAAGTGAAACATGGTTCTCTGATTTTATCTGTTCAAATAAATTTGGAAGCATCCAAATCGAATGCAGTGTCATTTGTCTTCAGAGCTCAACTATAACAAGCTTAAAAGGGCTTTTCTTTTCTGTTCATGCCAAGATGCGAATTCTGTATTCAGAGAAAATGAGGGGAACCCTCGCCCTGTACCGTGTTCGTAGTGGATAAACCCTTGTGCATGCCAAACAATACATGCAGCCATGTTTTACTTAGAGGTGCTCTTTAACCTGAATGAGCTTACAGAACAACCTGTTTTGGTCTGAGGCAAGCCACTCTTCATTCTAACTGAGTCATGTGGCTGTACATCTGGGTGTCACTTAATCTTTCTTAGAAGCTTAATGCCTTGTAATGAGGCTAACGCTTAATTACTCTTTCCATTGCTTTCAACAGCACCCATTGGTGTTTCGTGTTGATTGTGACCTGTCACGACAAAATGAGAGTAAAGTCACATCCCACTCTTTCTCATTTTGAGGGTTCAAAGTCATATTGAAGTGGAGGTCAATTTGGGGGTTTTGTAATAATTGGAAAGAGTAACCCGTCTCCTATTTGATTCCAAATATTTCACAGAATCTCATATTTAAAAATGCCATTTTCTCAGGAATTCTGACAACAGCATTATTCTTGCCTGGTCTGAAATGGTGAAACAGTTTCGGGAAAAAAGACGCAAAGCTGCCAGAATAATAAATAATATTTAATTCCAAATATTTCACAGAATCTCATATTTAAAAATGTCATTTTCTCAGCAGTTCTGACAATAGCATTATTCGTGCCTGGTCTCTGGCTGAAATGGTGAAACAATTTCGGGAACAAAGACGCAAAGCTGCCAGAATAATGTCACTATGTCACCTTATACTTTTACCCTAATTTTTGCATGTACATACTTCTAGTATTCTATGATTTCTGGCCCATGATCTAGTATTGGAAAGCTCTTTTTCTGCTGAATCCAAAAATACCTTTTCTCAGTTTTGGAAAATTCCGACTTTCAGCTCATTTTGTGGTGACAGGTCACATTTTTTACTGATTTAACCTACAAACATTCATGTGCTTGTATTTCTGGCCATCTGGCTCATCTTAGTAGTCAGCCGTTGGTTATGTGGCTTTCATCTACATGTACATCTTTGAGACACTTTGGAAGTGGTTGCACAAAATTGGTTGGGTCAAAATCTTCATGGTATTCTGTTTTGTACAGTGTAAATTTGTGTACATATAAAGTTTGATGAACAACTCTGCTATTTTATGTGAAGAAAATTAAAATGAAATCTATTATGTCGCACAAATTTTTGTTCATTTTCTCTGTACATGTATAAGTTACTGATTTGAATGATGTGGACGTTTTCTTGGAGGAAAAGTTTATAGGAAACTTGGGGGATATTGGGGAAAATAAAACACTGTTAAGAAAAAAAATAAGAGTGTGGGTGTGAGCTACTAGAGTTTGCAAATGTGTAACATAATTTATGGGGCGTAGCCTCTGTGAATTTCAAGGTGCGCACCCAAGTAGGGGCATACAGTTTAGTGTGGTTTGGGCCACAGCAGACGAACAAGTCCATGAAAGGGACAAACCAAATCTCAGCAGAGAAGGTCGAAGACTGATACAAACCCGGTTGGTGGTGATGACGAGCCAATGCATTTTGTTCCGTTGTTTCTATTGTTGAGAAACCATAGGCACTGTTGGGTGAGTTCATGCAAAGAGCACAGTATTATTGGACAGTCCTTGTTGCTACATTTTGATGCCATAAAGGGAACAGAAACAGAATCCTTGCCGAGCTCACTTTTTGGAAAGAGTGACTTTTGCTCTTTGTTGGGGGGGGGTTATGTCCCTATTTCCCCCACCCCCATTGTGGATCCTTATACAGAGGTGCACCCCACCAAGTGTTTTGTGTACACCAGTCTTCAATCTGAATTGCCCAATCCAAGCAATGAACTCTGTAGCCCCTTGGATAAAGGCAAAGTCCTCATCATAATTACTAGCGACTTCTGAAAGCTGATGGAATTTGTGGTGGTAGTTTTATGGGTTCAAACACTTGCAGATGCTGTTTGATGCATTTAACTCAAGTACCTGGAAACCTGATCACTGGCAGCAGAAGTGGGTGGGGGGAAGTGGCCATCCACCTTTCAACTAGGGGGACATAGCAGCCCCTCCACTTTTTCCAGGGCTTATTATGGGGGGGAGCTTAATGGATCGGCCCATTAATGGCTGATGTCTGATGGTCTCACAATTCCCCCCACTTTGAAAATCGTTCCACCGTTGTTGAGCCCGCCCATCTGAAGGAAGCACCACTGGCAATTCAAAAAATTTTTTTGGGGGGAGGGGTGTGTGGAAAAGTTTTGTTCATACAAGGGTGAAGTACATGTCACTGTAAAAGCCACTTAATCTCTTTCTGTCATTAATCTTCCACAAAACCAGACCATTGGCGGTGGGGGGGTCTTCCAATTTTCAATTAGACATAGGCCTCTAAAACAGGCATGGGGGCTTGATACCCCCCCCCGGAGCCACACCTGAGCATTGTTTTTCTAACTTTGGATATAAACAAAAATGCTTTTGACATAAATGCAGAGGCAGGTCAAAAGGAGTCTTTTCCACTGTTTCCCTTTATTGCTACCATGGTCATTAAAACGTTTATAAAATGCATATCTAGAAAGAAATTGAAGACTCGGGACTAAAAACTAAACAGATGCAGACCCTTTGGCATTATAGGTTGAAGTGATATTTAGTAAAGCTGATAAGTGGAATGCCCAATTATGAAAACACATTTTGAAAATAATAGGATGTGCATATATGGGTGTAATGTTATATAAGCTGCTGTGGCCATATTAAAACTTATTCTTGTCTAGTGGTACTCATCAAAATATATGAACTCAATATATCTATTTAATGGTTTCCAGATGAACCCATAATCAATAGCCTTCAGATATAGTTTGGGTAGGTGCTCTGGTATCTTGTCTTTATAAAACAAGCAGATGTAACTCTCAAGTTGGTGCCTCACCGTGCCAAATTTAACAACATGTTGCTACATTAATGTAACCGTGCCAAATCGAACAACATGTTTGTTTTGGATTTCAAACAGTGACACTCAGGGTAATAGACTAATCCATGGAGATGCCATGGATCCTGCACATGCACATGCATTCTTAAACACGATGTGCTCATTTGGCTAATCATGACACCCCGTTGGTCGAAAAAGCATGACCTCTCCACGAGCGTTGAGCCACCTCAGGCATAGCTGTTAATTCCAGTTGCTACATTCACTGTAGGATTTGATAACAAAGTGACTGTAGCATGTTCCAACTACAAGCAAAATTGCCAACTTTGTTCTTAATTCAGTCAGAATATCCTAAGAGGAGGACTTGTAAAATGTATCAACACTGCAACAACCAGGTTTGTACAAGCAATGTGGAAGCTTTATAAATGTAAAATATATGTGCAGTTGTTCAAAAACTTCTAATGAAGCTCTGGAAAATGCAAGTATGGATACACTGTGTAATAGTTGAGCACTCCATGTTTTTTCGGCAAGACACTTGTAGATGTCCCATTTACTACTTGACGAAAAGTAGCATTGGTGTAGAGCTGATGACTTGTGAAAGGGATGTGCATTGCCACAAGATTGCTCCTTGAAGCATCATTGACAAATGTGTCTGAGACTCCACTTTGTAAAATCAAAACTAGTCTCATAAATCTGAAAACTATTTGGTACCTCTCCAATAAAACAAGCCTTTTCAATAACCATTGTTTCACCTTGGATAAAATAATGCAATTTCTGTTCTACCACCAAGCCATTTTATTGAAATATTTTTGTTACAATAAAGCAAACTTAATAATAAAATGAGAAATAACTACGCTGGATAAAATAGGGATTTTCTGGTTCCATTTTAAAGCCATTTTAATGGAGCATCTTTGCCTGTTTATTCATTGAGAGCCAATAACATTTATGAAGAAAAATTAATTGGTATACATTACACTGATCAAAAAGTTTATCTTAAAAAGTATTGAAATCTCAGGTGTCTTTTTCCAAGAACAAAGTTTTTTGGGAGTGGTAAAATTCAAATATAAAAAGTCCATTTTCATAGAATTGACACTTTCAAACAACTCAAAGAGGTAAAAGCCACTGCATATATTCTTTATGGAATTTTTAATGTCAAAAGTTTTTTTTAAAAAAAATAAGAATGTATTTCAGTAATCAGTGAACTACTGTATGTTTTACTTCCATCACCATTTTAAAGAAAGAATAAGGCAATCTATGCCTTGACCGTCAACACAGGTCTTGATATTTTTCCGGTCACCTCTAGTAATGATAGTTACGCCTGGGCTTGCTCCGGGGGCGAATGGCAACTTGGTTGGGGCCCTGTCATGGAAGAAATTCACAATTTACAAATGGGGAAATTTGAAACAGCAGAAAGTTCAAAACATTCCGGGAGAACCTGTACCCTGGGCAGTAATTTTTTTTTTTTTGCTGGACTCAAATGAGATCTCCTCTTACCGTGACGTAGACCTCCCCGTCGGGAGAGAATGATGGTCCGTCCGATGGGTACATATCCAGGGCAAAGGCCTCATTGCGTCGCCCGTACAGCTCATCCTCCATGGGGTAGTATTCGTCGTTTAGATTCAACGTCGGGGCCTTGGGAGGTGGGGGAGGGGGCAGGGCCAGTGGAGGAGGGGGAGGGAGGGCAAGGGGAACACGCTCCTGTCCCAACAAAAAGAGAGAGAAATCACCTAACAATAAACGCCAACCATTCCGCACATTTTCCCTGTATTACTCAAAATATTGCATGCCAGTTGACGACAAAATAGCTGACCATAACGGAAGAACAAGAGTCCCAGTTTGGCCTCAAGAGGTGGTATATCCACCTACAAAGGGGAGACATTTTTGGACTATCAAATGCCATTCTGATGAATCTTTTGGGTGGGGTGATGTCGTGCATCCTCTCTTCTGTGAGTGTGCCATGACCTCCTGCAAGCTGACGGCATTTGTCACAGCCGCACGGAAACGAGGCCTTCCCCTGCCAGTTTACAGTCGATTGGCACAACCGCCCCAGTCCCTACTATTTGTGAATCAGGCAATACCCGCTTTACCCTGGGCATCATGAAGACGTCCACGGAGGACACCACGCTGGCCTTGTCGTCCACGATCTGGAAGGGCCTCTCCAGGGGGTAGCCGTAATCCTTGTAGGGCTCCCGGCAAAAGTAGATGCAGCAACAGAGGAGGGCGAAGAGGAGCAGAAGGAGGAGAATAGAGCCCCCAATGATGGCAGCAATGACTGCCGGTGAAAGGACTGTGGAAATGACAAATGTCAAAGAAACAAATTGATTTAAAAATGAGTCCTGCTGCTAGGTTGAAGTACAGTTTAAAATATCTAATTGATTCTCCACATGTATAAATTCTCCAATCCTCTATTATATATTCTCTAAGAGCCCTGAAGCATGGAGTACACGTCACCTGAAAAATGGAAAACAATTTTAGCCTACCTGTCTTGCAAAAAAAAAAACCAAAACGGGCAACTATAATGTATCTCATTTCCTAAAACAGATGCCAAACTAATTGTGGACGCTACAGGAAGAACATCTGAAGGCATGGCCTGAAAAAAAAAATCTCTTGTAGGGATATCCAAGAAAATGTCAGGGGACAGTGAATTCTGACCTCACACTGGAGTTAGACTAGGGGATGGAGTATGCCCTGGAGTAGATGCTCTGATTAACCCTGACGGTCCTCAATCCTGCACCTGTTGGAGGACTGAGGACTGCTAGGGTTAATTCCCTGATTCTGGCACTGACTGTTTAAAAAAGTTTGCACTACCTGGAAACAATAGGATGCTGTGACGAGCAATGAATGGAACATTAAGGCTGTTCACATACCTGATGTGGGGTCTACAGTCTCGCAGTTGGTTCCACTGTAACCATCGGGGCACCTGCAATGGAAGAAGTTCTGACAGGTATCGGTGAATATTCATGATTGGCCAGAGTTTCTGATTGGCTTGGAATGCTCCAAAGGGGCATGGCATTGCAATGATGTGGTACCTGAATCAGGAAAATGGCCACAGTTTGTAACTTACGTGCAGACATTGGAGTAACTTGTGTCAACGGCACATGTACCGCTGTTTTGGCATTCCCCAGTCGGACACAGCTCTGTAGAAGACAGGAATACGACATTATATTGAAGACCATTACATGTAACCAGTACACTGCCAGACTGTATCTAACTAGCATCTGCAAGACAAATACACACAAATATTTATTTTTGTACTGGGGATTAGCCACTGGTGGCGGAAGGGGGGGGCCCACTTTTTCAATTGGGGGGCATGGCCCTCCCACTTTTTGCAGGGCCTATAATGGGGTGGGGCTTAATGGATCGGCCCATTTACGCTGATGCCTGATGGTCTAACAACTGTCCCCCCCCTTTGAAAATCGTTCCACCGCCGCTGGAATTAGCTCCTTCTGGGGCCAAAATATAAGGAAACTAAGACTCCTAAACAGGTGCTCCAAGACTAAAAGGGCGAACAGATGGACACTTAGTGACCAAATAATGGGGCGAGTCTTACAAAACAAAAATCCGTAATGCTGTCACATGTTATGTTATGAGAAGCTTTGG